GGCCTGCAACCCACGTCGGCGGCGGAGAGCGGGGCGGGGCCGAAGAGGCGGGAGCCCGAGAGTGACAGCCAATGAGGCGCGGGATCACCGCCACGAGCCGGAGACGATAGCCAATCGTTGGTCGTGGGGGGCGGGACATGCTGGTCGTCCGGTCCCGGCGCTCCCCGACCGTGCCGCTATTTCGCGCCTGTTTTAAATGGAGCCCTCCCGGGATGCTGTTTGGGGACTCTGCAAACGAGCACCCTAGCAGCTCTTGCGCGCCAGGGCGCTGCGCATTTGAGCGCTTGTCATCGACGTCTGAGGTTTTCCAGGAAAGAAAGCACTGTTGCTGCAGGGGAAACTCGCTTGAAGTTAAAGATGTTCTTTTGCTTTTCCTCTCCAGCGCCTATGCCAGCTTTAATGCTGCAAGCACACTTCACAGGTCCAAACCGAAAAGACTAATCTTGCCACTAAACCGATTTTTCCTTGATTTCTGGGTTCCCTCCTGATTGAATTATATCATCACCCACCAGGCCGGACAGCTGAGAATTACAAAGATCACGTTCATTACAGGCCTTTCTTCTGGGAATGGTATGAAGCCACAGCCACTATATTCTCCAGCCGTCAGTTAATTGGCTTGTGGCAACTGATTCTCCTTCTTGTGTTACTTCTTAGCTACAATGCGCCTCTGACTTTAAAGTTATAGAATGCTAAAAGCAAAGGAAAACAAAACAAAACCACCCTTTCCAGCAGCAGCACTTTCAAAGGGTATTCATTGCTTTTAGTGCACAACCCTCGCTCTTTAGAATATGGGTTCAAATATTTCAAATGTCCATCTCTCAGTTAATACCCATTCTTACCACTATCCGTTCCATAAACACTCGGAGCCTCCGTGTTGATGAGGTTTGCAAATTCTTTTGGCTGTTACTTCTTAGTTGACAGCTCCTCCTTAGCTTCACTTTGTTTCTTTTCCCCCAACATACCTGAAGAAGCCTTTCTGACACCCTGAGTCTGAGTCGGATTTCTTGGAAACAGAATACCTCACTCTCAGGTGGGCAGTGGTGGCCCATGTCCTTAATCCCAGCACTCACTCAGGAGGCAGAGGCAGAGGCAGGGGGATCTCTGTGAGGTCAACCTGGTCAATAAAAGCTGTTCCAGGACAGGTTCCAAAGCTACCGAGAAACCCTGTCTTGAACCCCACCCCCACCCCATCCAAAAAAAGAATACCTCACTCCCCTGTCAGGTTACTTACTACACAGAACTGTAAATGACTTCTGGTTCTTCTGAATTTCTCACTGTTTTATAAAGTTGCAGAAAGTCAGTGAGCATCTTAATGAAAGCAAAAGTAGGAACCAAAAATTATTTCAAGAATAAGTGTGTGCAAATTATTTCCATTCAGCAAGATATTTTTATAGCGTGCTCACAACACACCTCACCATTTAAATAGCTCTCTTATTAGCATTTCCAGCACTTCTGGCTTCCCAGGGGATAAGGGTATTAATATTTTGAGTCTTTTAAAAAATATCCTAGTTCTTTTTAAATATGAGTAATTTTCATGCACCTTAGAAAAACATTCATAGTCAAGTGTATAGAGCAACATTTTAAGTTCTGACTTCATAATTTCCTTGCCAATACCCAACTCCAAAAGGTAGCCTTTGTTAATATTCTCTGGTGGATCTTTTCAGATAAGCCTCTACAAATACATATGCTATTAAACTAAATTTGCCTCAAGACTGGCCCCCAGTATTTTGAATTCCTGCCAAGGAACTCCAACTTAACTTAGTAACTTCAGCTAGTCAATAGGCTCCCAACTGATCAATTATGCCTATGTATAGAAGATGAATTGTATCAGGTTTCCCTTTGAGAAGGTGCAATTAGATCTATATGCTGTTAAGTCTTTCCTAAATATTACTTTTTAAAAAAGAGATTTATTTTCTTGTGTATGGGAATTTGGTTTGCATGATGTTTATGTACCATCATAAACATTCTGGCCTGTGGAGGCCAGAACCTACTTGCTGATGAATATTTGCTCTGATAGATCTGGTCCCAGAGAAGTGAAAACCCTTACCTCTACGGAGCAGAGTCAGTGAACAATTACATCACGGGTCTGTTTGTTGATGAACATAAAGAAAGAATGTTAAAATTAAATGGTTCCGCGCGGTTAGGATATCGGTCGCTGTTTAAATTAAGTCAAGGAAAGACTCCAACAGGCTGGCCCTCAATCTGAGAACTGAAGGAGTAGGTAAACACTAGCAGACCTTCGATGGAAGGGCGTCTAGGCCAGGGCAGAAGCAGCGTGGTGATAGAGTGGAGCGAGGAGGGCCAGGATGGAGCAGAGTCGGCAAACGAGAGAAGAAAGTAAGCTCTAATCGGGGTATCTACGAAACATCTCCACCGTGATTGCAAGTAGCCTTTACAATGTGTGATCATATTAACAACAGTAAAACGTAATTTTGCAGTGCAACTTCCCATTTCCAGACTGCGTCCATTCCCGAGGTGTCGCTGCTCAGCTGGGGGTTGATCTATGGACACAGCTGAAGGATGAAGTCACCCATTCTTAACTCGGAAAGTCTAAGTATCTACAGAAGTAAACCAGGCTGGTTACAGTTGTCTAGAACATGTTCCGAACCCTAGCTCCCCAGTGACCCCTCTTGAACTAGGTTAGCCAAGGCACAGAGTCTGCGCCTGCGCAGTCGCTGCCGGCCACGCCCCTCAGGCAGAGGTATGGGAGAACCCGGAAGCGACTGAGGATTTCCCTTTAACGTGTCGGGCGGGGACGGGGCCGTGTCGCAAAAACGTCGTGACGGACGGTGCCTCCCACGGGTCTCCGGCTTCCGCGCTTTACGGCGCTGGCGCTGTTGAGCGGAAAGATGTCGGCTCCTGGCCGGGAGGAGCCGTCTGGTCCTCCCGGCAGCTACGCGAAGCGGGTCCTGGTGACCGGCGGCGCTGGTTTTATGTAGGTAACGGTGCTAGCGGCTCAGTTTCTCCCCATCCGAGGCGGGGAGGCTCCTCATGCACGGTCGGGACCATCAGTCCAGTTTCCCTCACTTTGGGGTCGACGAGAACGAGGTTGCTTTGAAATTGCGACTGCTTTAACACCTGCCCCGCAATAAAGAGGGTGTCGGGGGTGCTGTGGTGGTGTGCCTCCTCCTACCTGCCCGAGGCGTTTACCTCTATCACTTTTTGAGGTGCACGCGTTGAGCTTTTTGCATTTCCTTCAGGCTCTCTCTGCCAAGCCTCCGAGCAGCGCGTCTCGACACCGTGCGGCGATGGTGATGGAACTCGGTCTTTTTTTCCTTCAGAACACGTTTGCAAAGCCTCTAAGCAGCTTGTGCGAGGCTCACTCATACCCACATTCCATGAGGGCGCCCGTTTTCTTGGTGTCAAAGGTTGTCCATAACTTGACTTCTCACCACGTTAGGCCTGATCCTGCGGTCTTTTGCTTAACAAAGCTACTGTGCCTCCCCTGGTTGATCCCCCAGCGTTTCCTTTAGATGCCTTACAAGCGCGCTCCTCATACAGAAGTTGTTGCTTTGAAGGCAGTGAGATGCTGCTGCCTCATACAGTTTTATACTTGTGGTTTCTGTGCGGCTTGTGATAAAGTTCAAATCTATCAGTTCTAGAAGGCTCAAGTGCTTAAAACCCTGCTTTCCAACCGAATCGCTTGCTTTTTTGTGCCACAAGCCTCTCAGAGTTCTTGGAGAACAGTAGGCTAGTGCCCCTTCCTGCCTTGAGATGTGCACGTCTTTCTTTGTTTAGGATGTTTACACTATTTGGTTCAGGTGTTAATTTACCCCCATATCAACTTGGAAGCCCTTATGGGACCACCCTACTGGCCCACTTAACACGGCCTGAAATTTCATTATTTGTGTTTACTTATTTATGGCCTTGTCCCCATTCTAGAATATAAACTCTGTGAGAGCAGGCTGGTGTTCATGAAGTGCCTGCAGAAAGGCCCCGTCCATGCTGTGAGGGTCTTCGGTAGTAGTTGAGTAGGTGGGTAATAAACTGGAACCTGTTCTACCCTCATGGAACACAGTGTCTCCTGCGTGAAAATACAGAGATTTCTGTGTACTGCATTGATAAGCCGTGGCCCTTTTAAATTCAACAGTCCCTTTGCTGAGGGTACCCGGAAGCCACGTTCACTTAATGAACAGGAGTATGGATGTGGGGAAGTGCTGGTACTTGCATGGAAAGACTGGTCCATAAGAATGTCCTAGAAAGTGAGGGACAAGGCCGCCAAGTATCAGCATCATCTTCACAGATAGTGCTTGCCATTGCACCCAAGAACCCAGAGTATAAGTGTGATTTTATCTCCTGGTGTTTTCCTGCTGCTCCACAGCTCAGGGGAACTGGAGGACTGCAGGAGGTTAGTGTTTGTCCCTCACAGAGTCCTTCTGTCCTTGTAGAGCGTCCCACGTGATTGTCTCCTTAGTAGAAGATTACCCCAACTATTTCATCATAAATCTAGACAAGGTAAGTTTATAAAAAGTGAGCTTCATGTACAAGACTTGACCTTTCTAAAAAAACTAAAGTGTACTAGCATTAGAACATAATAAAGCGAGTTGCAGTGGCAGCTGCCTGTCTTCCGAGCACTAGGGACGTAAGGGCAGCAGCATTAGAACTTCAGGGTCATCCTTGAACTGTATACCAAGTTCAAGGCCAGCCCAGGATCACATGAGATCCTGTCTACAAACAGACAGTGACATTAATTTAGTCTTGGACCGTCTTTAGTCATAATTGTAGTCTCACCGAAGAGTATGTTTTTTTAGTTTAATCAAAAGATACAAATGGTTGTAATTTCATAAAATGCAATGGTAGTAAAATGTATAGGCAAGGAACAGGTGTTAACTGTTAGCATATTTTTTTCTGTCTTCAAGTTATAAACAGGTGAACAGAATTCTCTTTCGTATTGTGTATTTATTGGAAGCGGGCATGTATGAGCTGCAGCTTGCACGTAGAGAGACCACTGTGGGCGTCAGCTCCTACCTTCGCTCTGTAGCTCCTGGGATCAGGTTGGTGGCAAGTGCCTTTACCCAACGAGCCATCTGTCCTGTTCTAAGGGTGGAGCTCAGGCTGTCCTCAGACTTCTGATTCTCCCACATCTGCCTCTTTAACAAATCCTCCTGGTGTCCAGTGCCACAACCAGCAGAGGCAGGCAGATCTCTGGGGTTCAAAGCCGGCCTTTTCTGCATAAGGAACTCCAGGACAGCCAAGGGTACATAGTGAGACCTTGTCACAAAATACCTAACTGAAAGTTAAAAAAGAGATAAATTCTGGGTAGGCATGTGTGTCTGCATATGGGTATGTGCACCTAAGTACAGCTGCTCTTAAAGGTCAGAGGTGTTGGGTCTGGAGTTACAGACAGCTGTGAACCACCAGATCACAGCTGGTGGGTGTGGGAACCAAGCTCAGCTCTTAACCTCGGAGCTATCTCTTGAGCTGCAGCTGGTTCTTAAAATAGATAAGCACTCATTTGCCGTGCTAGAAGAAGAGGCATAGGGGCTGGAGAGATGGCTCAGCAGTTAAGAGCATTGCCTGCTCTTCCAAAGGTCCTGAGTTCAGTTCCCAGCAACCACATGGTGACTCACAACCATCTGTAATGAGGTCTGGTGCACTCTTCTGGCCTGCAGGCATACATGTAGACAGAATATTGTATACATAATAAATAAATAAATATAAAAAAATAAAAGAAGAGGTATAATGAATTAAATGTGTATACAGCAGGTACTTTTTTTTTATCTTCGATTGCTCGTTCCTTTCCTGTGAAGAACTAAACGTATTCAGTGTGTAGCCACCAGTGCTGCAGAGGAGCCTGAGTGGGAGCGCATTTTAGAGAGATTTGTAACGGCGCCTTTAGGATGTGGGAAACTTTACAGGTGTAGAGCGGGGAAGCATTGTTGGAAGGTGATTCTTGTATCGGTGTTCGCATTTGTGACCGTCAAACTCTATTGACTTGTCATCCAAAGAGCTGACCTTGCTTTGTGTGTTTCCTCCCCCACCATATTCTCTCATTTAAGCTGGATTACTGTGCAAGCTTGAAGAATCTTGAACCTATTTCTAACAAACGAAACTACAAGTTTATACAGGTATGGAAGCTCCGTTGACGTTGCCTCTTGAGTCATGCAGAAATCATAATCTTTGTTTGTTGCAAATGTGTTAAAGGTCAGAGAGTTCGCACAACAGTACATGAAGTAGAGAGTTCTCCTTGTAGATTGAGGTCACATAAAAAGCTGCATTTGAGTTTTAGTACCTTGGCAAATCTATGAATAGTTCATAAAATATGTGAGTTAAAAATACATATAAGTTGCCAGACGGTGGTGGCGCATGCCTTTAATTCTAGCACTTAGGAGGCAGAGGCAGGCGGATCTCCATGAGTTCGAGTCCAGCCTGGTCTACAGAGCGAGTTCCAGGACAGCCATGACTGTTACACAGAGAAATCTTGTCTTTAAAAGAACAAAAAACAAACATCAGAGCACTATAATCCTAGTTAGTGGTGATTACACACACTCCCAATGTTATTTCAGTAGTTAGGCTTGTTTTAAATATGTTTGTATACCTCTCTGAAAGGTTTATTTTTCTTAACGCTAAAAAAGTTTCCATGCAATGTTAGCTTTACAAGTATGTGTTAAAAGTCAGCACAATATTTAACAGAAGTTGATATTCAGCAAAATTATTTCTTGGGACATATTTGCAAAACTATTTTGAACTAAATGCATGTGTTGTAAGATGCTGAAGAACTGCACTGTAGAGTACTTGCCTGGCTGCTTGAGTGACGTTTTCTGTTGGACTTGGTGAGAAATGGAGAGGTGTCAGAGCCAGGCTTGTTGCTCTGAGTGCGGGTGCTCGGGGACCCTCACCCATCGTGTTTGTCTTTCCTGCAGGGTGACATTTGCGACTCTCACTTTGTGAAGCTGCTGTTCGAAGTGGAGAAGATAGATATAGTGCTACATTTTGCTGCACAGACACATGTAGGTAAGCACTGTCCTATGCTATAGTTCTGACCGGCCTCGTCTCCCTAGTCAGCAAATCCCAAGTCCAGTAAAGGGATGAGTAAGCAGGGACATAGCAAAGTCTTTGAAAATGGATACACCCGCTGGGCCGAAACAGCCCCTTGTCCCTGGGGGAGCTTGGGTTCTGGGAGTCACTTCTCTCCCCTGCCTTTTAAGTGGTGCTCATGGTATTGCTTGAGTCACATCCTCAGACCTGACAACTGGGGCTTACTCCAGGTGACGTGTTAGCTCGTGCTGAAGTGGAACATTAAAACTGGCTTTAAAAGCTTTTGAGCTGACTCAAACTCAGACTAGTGGTTATTTCCAGAAGGAAGGAGAAGATGAGCGTGGTGTTATTTTATGTCCCTGAGTGGCAGTGCACCAGTTTGTGTTACCCGCACCACCTCGTGCATCAGAGATGCTGTTTAGTAATTCAGCAAACCTTTTCCCTGGGACATATAGCAAGAATTGGAAGTACAGTTAAATAAGTAATAGTGCCTGACCACCCTTGTCGTCCTCACCTTGCCTGGAGGCAGCATTGCCGTGGAGCTGGCTGTCAGTAGCTGCTGCTGCTCCTGCTTCCCACAGCGGCAAACCTGCGCCTCCCTCCGCCCTGCTCTATGGTTTTGATGACTAATATTTAGCCCTAGATGTTATATTTTTGTTTGGACCACTTTTAAATCTTCTACTACATGTGTCTTTGTGCGCATACTCACACATGTTTACACAAACACATAGATTTGTAAAACATTTTTGTCAGTTTCCTTCCATATGTGAAATGCTAGGGAGCCGGGTGTAAGTATAGTGTGTTCACAGTCTGTGCTCTCTCAGTATTCCAGCGTAAGAAAGGCCAGCAGCTCTGTTTTGATTCTTGCTTGACGTTGGCTCACTTTTACTTCTGGGCAGTTTTAAGCAGCAGTGCTGTGTACTTGGCCATGTCCTTGTAGGGATTCCTTGTGTCTGATGTCTGCAGGGTCCTAAGATTGGCTTTCTTCAGCAGCGAGGCTGTGGCAAGCAGTTTTGCTGAGAAGTCATGCTGATTTACAGTTTTCAAATTTAGTGCAATGTGGTGAACAGACTCATTTATGCGGGGATCTAAGTTTATTTTTCCAAGTTTCAGTGAGATCAGGTGGGTTTTTTTTTAATGTTTTTTGATAATTCAAATTTCTTTTATAGAATACTGTTGAAATCACTTGCCCATTTTAAAAAAAAAGTCTATTACATTTTTCATATTTAAATACCTTAATGAGAGAGAGAGGTATTTTGATAAGAAAAATGAGAAGTAGTGATCTCTTCTGTGTTCCTTGTTAGCTGAACCTTTATCTGAGACAGAGCCTCTTATTGAAGCTGGAACCCAGTGTCGAGGCTCGGTTGGGAAGCCAGCGGGCTCCGGAGATTTCCTGTCTCCGCTCCACAGTTCGGGATCACACACATGCACAGCCTGTGGGGCTGAGGTCTGAGCTGAGGTCCTCTTGCTTGAGCAGCAGCTCCCGTACCTGCAGAGCCATCCCCCCAGTTCTGAGGTCATCTTTCTTCCTCGGTGAAGTCGAGATCCTTTTCTCTGTCTTGGAATGGCTGTGTCATCTTGGGATGTGTTTCCTATAATTCATTTCCAGCACTTCTTGGCCACCATGACTCAGCTTGTGTGTGTCGGGTGAGCGTGCCGTCATCCAGTTTATTTCTTCTGAAAAGTCTGTCCGCTCATCCATGGTATCTATCCGCTTGCTCTCTTTTAAAGACTCAGCTGAGGAATTGTTTTTATTTTCTTTTTCCACTGCTAGTTTGGAAAGGACATAGCCTGTCTGTAGTCACCTGATGTAATGTAATAAGCTTTCAGAGTGCAGAGTCCAGAAACCTTTGCCCTCTTCCCAGATCGTGCACGCTAGCTTTGTCTATGCCCAGCCTTGTTCTTAGCTAAGCTTTAGGTCTATTGTGTTTAATATTTTCAGCTCCAGTAAACACGTCTTACTGTTTTCTGTAGCACTATTTTGGATGATCAACATTTGTGTATATTTGAGCTTTAGCAATGATGATTTTCTCACTGTCTTTATTCCACTCATTTGTGGCACATTCCTCCAACAAGGCCACACCACCTAATAGTGCCACTCCTGTGAGATTATGGGGACCAATTACCAAACTTCCACAATGGGTGTAGGATAGTAAGTAGACAATTGACCCTAGCAGTTCACCGCACATGGGCCCCAAACCAGGAATGTCTCTGAGTAGAAACTCTCTGTACTTGGTTATTCTTAGGGGTAGAGAAGCTTGTATTGTGGTTCAGAGAGGTCAGAAGCTGTGTAGCCCAGGGCAGGTAGGAGTTTGAGGGGGTGTTGAGGTTGCCAGGTGCCAAGTGCTGTGTTAAGAAGGAGTTGGGCACAGGACCAAAATTAAATAAGGTCCCGGGCTGCTTATCTATTCTTTCTGTTTACCTGTCTTTCCAGCACTGGGGAGGGGGAGACAGGAAGATCAGAGTTTGAAGATTAGGTCACTGAGATGGCACAATGTATTAAAGGTTCCTCCTGTTGAAGCCTGATACCTTGAATTTGATACCAGATCCCACATGGTGGAAGGAGAGAACGGCTCCACACCCAGGGTGCGGCATGCACGTGCACACCCCCATATACACCCACTCACACATAGAAATTAATTGAAAATAAAAGTTCAGTGTCATGCTCAGCTACATAGTAAGTTTGAGGCCATCTTGGTTTACGTGAAACCAAATATGAATCAACCTGTGTTGTGTTCTTTCTTAAACCTACTTCACATGCGCTAAGTAATGGGAATGGAACCATTGTACCTTTTCTCTCGTCCTTTTTAGATCTTTCGTTTGTCCGTGCCTTCGAGTTTACATATGTCAATGTTTACGGCACTCATGTCTTGGTAAGTGCTGCTTATGAAGCCAGAGTGGAAAAATTTATTTACGTCAGCACAGATGAAGTATATGGAGGCAGTCTCGATCAGGTAAGCTTAGAAGGTATATTCTACTTAGTGTGTGTATTATAACACACACACACACACACACACACACACACACACACACTCACTCTACTGTACCCAGTATAGAAGTCTGTCTTGTTAAAGTTCACTGGTCTTTTCCTGTGCTCTAATTACATGCTTTGTGTCACCCTCCAAAGTGTTACTTCCTTCTCCTTTGTTCCTATCAAGGGAAGCACGTCATGTGAGGGACAGTTAGCATTGGTGCACGTTTGCTCAGGGTCGGAGTGTTGTGCAGCCCAGCATCAGGTCTTTTGTGTAGTCTTAGTTGTAAAACACGATGCTGTCATTTCATGAGCTGGGGCATGCACCGTCCCACTGGCTCCTCTGGGCAGAAAACACGTTAGAATGTCAGTGACAAGTGCAGCCACATTGCTGTTGAAACTGGAATCTGTTCCTTTGTTGTTGATGTTTTAAAGACGGGGTCTCACTGTGTAGCTCAGGCTGGCCTGCAGTTCCGTGTTGCTCAGTTTGATCTTAACCTCATGGTCTTCCTGCCTCTGTCTCCTGAATGCTGGTATTACAGGGATGTTCCACCACACCTGGCTGTGTTCATATGAAATCATTCCTAATTCTTGTACTTTCTAAACAAAAAGATAGGACCATTCTTCAGTCCATAGTTTCCTTTCCCCAGTCCCTCTTTTAAATACATGCTCTGTTGGGGCTCAGTAACAGGCCACGGTCAATCTCAGAGTTAATGGGAAGTGAGTAACAGGCCATGGTCAATCTCAGTGTGGATGGGCAGTGAGTAACAGGCTATAGTCAATCTCAGAGTTGATGGGAAGTGAGTAACAGGCTAGGGTCTAGCTCCATGTTGAGTATTTGCGCAGTGTGTGTCAAGCCCTGGGTTTGATCCTAAGCAGGACATGAAAACAAAAGCCTCAGAATCAACAAGTATCTATACTGCTAGGTACGATGGCCTGAACTTAAGAGGGCGCCAAGGAGAAGCCTCAAAGGAATCCATTTGCAGGTCATAGTTACTGGATGCTGATTTCTGAGAGTCATTGGCTAAGATGATGTCTGTGCAGTTAACTCTTCAGCGCAGAGAGGAAGAATAGTGGCAGTCACATTAAATTAGGTAGAGAAGAGCGTGGTTTCTTATGTCTGAAGTTTAATCTTCAAATCACTACTATGGTTGGCATAGAAGCACCCAACTGTTACCCAGTAAAACTACAGATTTCCTTATATAAATATATTTTCATGAAACTTAAAATATGTGTGTGTGTGTGTGTGTGTGTGTGTGTGTGTATGTCATTTTAGAAAGGGTTCCCAGCCACTTCCTGTGTGGTATGGTGTTAGCCAGCAGCTGTCTCTGCGTGTGTGTGTGTGTGTGTGTGTGTGTGTGTGTGTGTGATTTTAGAAAGGGTTCCCAGCCACTTCCTGTGTGGTATGGTGTTAGCCAGCAGCTATCTCTGCTCTCTGGAAGATCTACCGCGTTTAGATAGAAAGCATCCCACAGTGTCTGGGGTGCATAGAGGTGGTCCTCACATTCCAGTCCCGGGTCCATGCAACTGTCCTTCCGCAGGAGAACTGAGTTATTTATTGATTGCACAGCATAAGGGGTGTTGCGCAAACTTCATTCCCATCTACCGTTCTGCCTGGTACAGTTTTCTGTTTAGTTCTGTTGTGTAGGTTATTCTGACAATCATTTTTATAAGTAAATAATTACATGATTATTGCTTTCAGTGGTGAGCTTCAGACTGTAGCAAGAGTAACTGCCAACAGCTATCCAAAATTTCCTAAGAAAATGCTTACTCCCCCAGGGTGGTTGTAAAGAAAGTTTAAACAGGCCTGGTGGCCCACATCTGGTGACACAGGTCCATAGTCTGAGCTCTGAAGGAGGCTGAAACAGGAGGATCCCACGTTAAAAGCTAGCCTGGGTAACTTAGAGACACTTTGTTTCTAAAGCAGTAACTCTAAGACTGGAAAGACGACTTTATTGCTTTTACAGAGGACCCTGTCCTGACTCCCAGTACCCATATGATTGTTTACAATCGTGTGTGACTCCAGTTCCCAGAGAGCTAACGCCATTATGTGGTTTCCACGGGTTTCTGCACATAAGCAGTGCACATAAACTCATGTACACACACATATAAAGGTAATAAATAAATCTTTAAAAATACTTTGAAATGGTTGAGAATATAGGTTTGATCTAATATGGCCTCCAACCAGTTCAATAACTTCATTTTCTATTTCTTCTCCCTGACACTAATCTTTAAGAACCTCTGCACTTGGTCTCCCCAGATTAGAATTCAAGAGGTTCCTCTGTTGGTTTGTCTTTTTATTTTGAGACAAAGTTTCAATTCCTGTTTTCATTCCTCCACCTCCCAAGTGCTGGGATTACAGATGTATACCACCAGAACAAAAAATGGTTTCTTAGATGTAGTCATTGATGTTTCAAACTAGTAATATGATAGTTTTCAATTGTATTTTGTTGTGTATGTATATTAATGTGCACTCACAGTGTGTGCTGCGATTGAATCCAGGTCCTCTGGATTCAACACAGACTGCTGTTAAGCCTCACACTTAGATCTTGTAATGTATTTTTTTATTTAGCGAGTGTGTGTAATTCAGATGTGTCCTTTTAAAACTAGGAGTTTGATGAGTCATCACCCAAACAACCTACAAACCCCTACGCTTCATCTAAAGCAGCGGCTGAGTGCTTTGTGCAGTCTTACTGGGAACGATACAAGGTTTGTGTGTTCTTTCTGTAATATGTGTGTGGCGGCCAGAGGGCAACTATGGAAGCACTTTCCTCCTTCCACCGTGTGAATTCCGTCATTGAGCTGGGTGATCAGACTTGGTAGGAGGTACTTACCATCTCACCAGGTCTGAGTTCTGAAGCTCTTGTAAGTCAGCTTTGGCATAGAAGATCTAGCTTAAAAACTTAGGTAGTAAGGGCTTCTAAGTATTGAACTCTTACACAAAGGCCCTACCTCTCACTCACCTGAAACGTATCTAGCCCTGCTTCCGTAGTCGACCGTCGCAGGTCTAGGGAGACGCTCCAGGAAGTCCTACGAGGTGGAGACAGAGTCCTTTTCCAGCAGTTGCTTGTCTCTGAGTGATCAGCAGTCTTGGTTCAGCATGAGGTAACCTGGAGGCCTGCGTGTGACGGCTCTAACTGTCGTTCTAGGATTCAGTCAGACAAGTGTCATCAGCTCCAGTGCCGTCCTCTTGGCTTCCCACTGGCCATTATTGGTTATTAGGAGCCAAGTCAGAAAGGAAGGCCAAGAAATTCCTTGGTGTTCTGCTTTTTGTGATGGTCCTTTTTACTTGTAAGGGTTGATTCAGTGGAGGGAGTCTGCCATCTTACCATCGAATTAAATGGAGACTGCTGAAAGTTGTCTTGGCAGTTAGCATGTGGGAGGCCTCAGTGTTTAGCCTGACTCTGTGCCTCCTCTACGTCCCTCTTTCCATTGTCTCCACAGGAGAAGGAGTTATTGGTCCTCTGCTTTTGTCTGACCCCTATACTCTCCTGTCTTTTTTAAAATATGATTTTACTATGTGGTCCTAGGTGGCCTGGAATTTACCATGTAGACCATGCTTATCTCAAACTCAAAGAGATCCACCTGCCTCTGCCTCTTGACTTCTGGTATTAAAGCATGCATCACAAGGCCTGACTTTAAAAAAAAAAAAAAAGACAGAAAACCCAGGGGCTCACTACATAGCTCAGCCTGGTCTTGAACTAGAAATCCTCCTTGTTACCCATCAGGCTGAGGCTGTCTTTGTAAAACTTAGCTCAGACAGGCTCTTCACTGAGTGCCGACCGTGCGCCCGTTAGGCACCAGTGTTCCACGTGGTTTATCTTTAAGCTGACCCTGGTGGTTGGACCCTTCCCTTACATCAGTGCCGGTTGTTCACTCTAGTTTCCGGTTGTCATCACCAGAAGCAGTAACGTCTATGGACCACATCAGTATCCAGAGAAGGTGAGCTTTATCTCCATGTCCTTAGTGGCTCTTAGTGATTGCAGTGTTACTTAAAACAATCTCCAGCAGTTACTTGTCTGAAGTCATTCATGTTGTGATTGTGCGTAATTACGTGCTCTGTGGATGTCACGTGAGAGCTCATCAGACTCAGGGTTCGGATTTCACTCTGTCAACCTGACACATTCCAACTGGCATCCTGTGGGCCTCGAACTGTTGTCTTCAGATGAGGGATGTAAAGGAAATACAGCATTTTTAGGGTGTGCATGGACATCATTGTCTCTCTTGAGTTCTGCAGCACCGTACAGCACTCCCAGCACTGCCCGACGGGGCTGCAGTTGTGTCAGGGTGTACGACAGTTAAAGGAAATTAGGCAAAGATGGGGAAAGCTTGGACTCATTACATGTAAGCAGTAAGTGATCCATGGCACCTGCCCGTATGTAAGGAATCTCCAAAGAGGCTGCGTGTGCTGCCTGCCAACTGTCCATGGCGGCTTCCTCTGCCTTCCCACTATACCTGTGTGTTCACCCTCAGGTTCTTAGGAGATCAAAACTACCTTAGAGTTTTCTTATTTGCCAAATGTCATGAATTTAGGTTAAAAGAATTAGAATGTATTCATCCATCCACATGTATCTTAGTAATAATTTTTAATATATGAGTTTAAATTCATATTAATGTCATTTTCAAAGTCTGAAATGGCATTTAAATATTCTTCTAGGTTATTCCAAAATTTATATCTTTGCTGCAACACGACAGGAAATGGTACGTTGCTTTTCACTTTTGCATTCACGTGCTCTCTGCCATGCTGGTAGTATTCAGTAGCAATCTCTGAAAGCCATAAAATCTTACAAAGGCCATGGACTGGAACATTCTGCCCACTAAGGAACACTTTCTCCGTTTAATGTGATAGTTTTTTTAATAACTAAACTGCATCTCCATAATTTACTAAGGTAAATTCTGAAATTATCTGCCGTGGAACTTAGAGTTGCAAAATAAAATTTTGACATCTATATATAATTTTATATTTCCAAATAGTTAATGTAGAAATGGAGATCTTGCTTTTCCTTTTTCCATTATTTTTCAGTTCTGGGACTGGAAGTAGGCCTTGCCCACCCGTTCCAGGCACACACGCTGATGGCAGGCTGTAGCCCCAGTTCCTCCCCAGCCCTGTGATTGCGGTATTGTTGATTTTTTAACTTTTTGAAACTGCTCAGGCTGGCCTTGCACTTGGAATCCTCTAGCCTCAGTTTCCCAAGCGACCCTAGAGTTACAGTCCTGTATAACCCTACCCAGCTTAGGGATTTCTTCAAAATGAATTTATGGTCTAAAATTAACAAGTGTTTCTTAGGGAGCCGTATTTCCCACTTTTTGAATTAAGAATCCTCAGAAAGGTTTTATGAAATGAAGAATAAAATTCAAGGGAATTAATGTTTTCAGTCCTCTAGGGCCTCTGGATATTGGCTTTCAGGAGTCACACTGCTCACCGCTTGTGCCTGGTTTGGGAGCTTCTTTCTGCACTGTGTAATTCTGATGCATTTGATCCACTTAGCTGTATTCATGGATCGGGGCTTCAGAGAAGAAACTTCCTTTATGCTGCTGATGTCGTGGAAGCCTTTCTCACTGTCCTCAGGAAGGGGGAGCCAGGTGAAATTTACAACATTGGGACCAACTTTGAAATGTCCGTTGTCCAGCTCGCAAAAGAGCTAATACAGCTGGTATGTATGTGCGTATCCTCTCTTGAAGGGATCTGTGAAGTTGTTACCAACCCAATGACAGTAATGAAGCATAGGTTACTTTCCTGCTGCTGCGATGAGACACCATGACCACAAGCAAGCTAAGAAAAGAGTTAATTTTGGCTTAGCGTTCACGAGGGCTAGTGTCCATAATGGTGCCCATAATGGGGGCAAGCGACAGGGCCTGGAGGCCAAAGCAGGAGCTGGTTAGATCCTTTCCATCCGTCCACACATGAGCAGGAAGTGGGGCGGGTTGTAAAACCTCCCATCCACCCCCAGAGATACACAGTGAAGACTCCACCTCCTGAATTTCTAGAACGTCCCCAGCAGCGCCACCAGTGGGAAGCACAGATGAAATACACGAGCCAACAGGGAAATTTCTCACAGAGTACTGCTCAGTCGATAGCTTGCCATTTCCTTAACTTAAAAGTGAAGAGCTGACAAGATAAATTCCTGCTAGTGTACATCCTCCACCTGTTTCACCGCAGGCTTGAGGGCATTTCCTGTGGTTTATGCAGTGCGTGTTCTTTCCGTGCTCTGGATGGCGTGTAGGTTGTAAGGACAGAGAGCACTCACACTGCCCCTCCTCCTCCCTTCCTGCTGTGAGGTGCTTGTCTTCCTTGCCCGCTTCTATCAGCTATCAGATACAGTTCTGTGATCTCATTCCGTAACATGGCTCAGGAGCTTGCTTCCTTTTGACAGATCAAAGAGACCAGTTCGGAGTCAGAAACAGAAAGCTGGGTGGACTATGTTCATGACAGGTGAGTGACAGGTTGGGACATCTGGAGAGACAGGACGCTGCAGGTGCTTGGAAAACTACAAGCTGTGTGAACTCACCAGGAAAGTAGTTCAGTGTTGGAGGAGGGCTGCTTGTTGGTTCCCGGCCACTCGGCTAGCTTAAACCCGAAATAATCACACAGAAACTATTAATTAAACCACCGCTTGACCTATTAGTTCTAGCTTCTTATTGGCTAGCTCTTATATTAATTTAACCCATTTCTATTAATCTGTATATCACCACATGGCTATGGCTTACTGGGGTAAAAGTTCCCAGCGTCTGTCTCCAGTGGCTCCATGGCTTCTTCGCTTCCCTCCCCCTATGCCATAGACTGAGGCAGTTTCTTTATTCATTAACCAATTAAAGCAACACATAGACAGAAGGACCTCTCACATCAGTTCAACTCGTGGATTTTCTGACAAAGTTTTCTTCCCTGTTGTAAGTGTTAGAAAGATAAAGGATAGCACTGTTGTTAGCCACAGGCTTAAAGAGAGCTGTTGACTCTTTCCCAGTATGGGTTTTCTCATTGTGAAGTTGGGACAGTATCTTCTTATAAAAGTGTTAATTATAATGTAGACAATGCATCTTGTCCCAAGGTTGGCACTCAGGAGCACTCACTTGTATCTGTATGAGTTGATGATAATTTATTCATTTATCAAACATTTGTAAATTTTCTTCTGTATGTCAGGTACTTCATTTGTACCTAAAGTTGTGGCAGAAATAAATAAATTATTGAAAGACTAGGCTATAGAGAATGTGAGGCATTGGTAATTGTGTATTTTATAAAATTTTTCTACAATAAACTTGTCCCTGGTGTGATTTTGTTCTTATGTGAATTATAATAAAGATGTGTGAGTGTGCATTCTGTGTCTTAGATGTGCAAATGTGTGTTCACAATGTCATCTTAAATCTTTGCTTTTCAAGACCGCACAATGACATGCGATATCCAATGAAGTCTGAAAAAATCCACAGCTTAGGATGGAAGCCCAAAGTGCCTTGGGAAGAAGGAATAAAGAAAACAGGTGCGTACTCGGCTGACCATTTAGGGGGCAGTTCAGGCCAGCGGAAGGAAAGGCAGTTCATTTCAGAACACCAGGGTTGGCAGAGCTCGGCCAGGAACCAGCTGCACCCCTGCTCTTCAGCCGTTTCTAACGGTGGCTGTTTCTCGAGTGTCGGGTTTAATGGACTTAGCTGTCCTTGCTCCTGAGTCTTGGGTGCTCAGTTCTCATTTCCTCTGTGTTCTGTCCACACTCACCCCTGCTAGTGTAGCTTTCTTCTTTCTTATGGTCTGTAGAATACTGGTCCATGTGGAGACCAGTGGGGTCTTGGAAGAAAATTTCTGGAAATTTACATGTACAGAAAAACCTAGTAAAATCAGAAACACTGTGTGTGTCTGTGTGTGTGTCACATGCCTTTAATCTTAACATTCAGGAGGTGGAGGCAGGAGGATCTCTTAGTTTGAAGCCAGCCTGTTTACATAACAAGTTTCAGATTAGCTAGCACTGCATAGTGAAACCCTGTCTCAAAAGACAGAACAAAACAGCAACAAAAATCTGTTTGAAATTATATTCATAGGAAAGGATATACTCAAATGCACAAAAGAGGTCTTGATTAAAAGCATTAAATGCAAAATACTTTGTTCAAATATTAAAAACCTAAACCAAAGATAGCTTCCATTTTTTTTTTTAAACTAGACTTAGGCTTCTTAACGCAAAGCCTGTGAACCGACCTCCCCTCATAGTGCACACTGTAATCCAACCTCCCCTCATAGTGCGCACTGTGAACCAACCTCCCCTAATGTCCACACCGTAAACCAACCTCCCTAATAGTGCACACCGTAAACCGACTTTCCCTGTTCATTGAGAGATCCATTGTCTCATTTTCCCTAATCCTGTATCTCCGTGTTTAGATAAGTGTTCATTTTCCTATAGCATAGCTTTAAAGTCAGCGTAGTGACGGTGCTCACCTGAGGTTGCTGAAGCACAGATGTCGCCGGCATCCTGCACAGTTAGTGCTGCAGGAACTGCCTTTGCGGTGGACAGAAGGCAACAGCCAGGTCCTGTTTTCAGGGGGCGAGTCCCGCTGGCCAACGTGAAGGTGAGGCTCTGCTGACATAGCAGGGACTCGGGAAGCACTTGTTAGTGCATATTGTTTACTTTCTCATTGTCTTGATTTTCCTGCCAGTGGAGTGGTACCGAGAGAATTTCCACAACTGGAAGGATGCAGAAAAGGCCTTGGAGCCCTTTCCAGTTCAGCCACCATTTATGTAACTGCCGGTCGGAGAAAAGGACATTTCCTACCTCACCCAGTGACATGACATCACGTGCTTGATGACGTGCCAGCTCTCCTTCCCGGATGGGATTCGGTGCAGAGTCCTCAGAAGTCCAGTATTGGTCCAGGATTCCGTGTGGAGATTTCCTCAGCAGCAGACGCGCTGGACGTGGGCAGGACGAGGCCCCTGGTTCTGCGAAGAGGAGTGGTGACACAGCTCCCCGGCTTCCCCAGCACCTGAGGGTCTCGGGTTTTATGTCCTGACTCATCTTTCAGGCCTGATGGTGTGAAAATGGAACAAAAATGAAGCATATTGAGCACTTTTTAACTTTTGATAATTTTGTAAAATTCAGTTAGATGTTTTTTACAAAGGTAAGCTAAAATTTCTCACCTTTTTAAAATCAGTTGTTGATTTATTTTTGACCTGTACCAGAAATTTTATCATGTATCTACTGTTTATAGTGGTTTTATTTATAAAAGTATCAATATATTTTAATATATTAAATCCTGATTATGGCTTTCTTAGTGTGTTTTTATTTTGTTGCAATGTTTTTTAAATAATCATGCAATTAGGAAGTATTAATACATGTTGGAGGTGCCCTCCCTCTCCCCCCGTGCCAGGAGGTACCTGTGCATGCCCTTTCCCTATCTGCAGAGAAAGAGGAGCTTGGGTCCCGAGGGAGCAGCTCAGTGCAGATGAGGGACGTAACAGTGGACGGACAGTGGTGCCGGCTAAGGCTCTGGAGGCAGGAAGGCAGCCTCGCGGTCAGAGCGTCCACCGTCTCCTCGGGCCAGCTTGGCACCAAGCAGCAGGTCTGCTCAACTAATGCCGTGCTGGGAGCCCAGCCTTTGTGGCTGATGCCTGGAGACTGGCTGTGCACCGCAGGTTAACTACACGGCCACGAGGATCTGTGTTGTGGGCCCCAGGGCCTGTTTTACACCTGTTACATGCAGATACTCAGGGTGCTCATACTGGGGTCACCGGTGACAAAGGCTGGGCAAAGCTCAAAGCAAGTCCTTTTGTCTCCTGGGCTCAGCCTCTCCCTCAGTGCTGCACAGGTCCCTACTCTCCCATCAAGCCATGGTAGCTTTCTGTTCATAACCTGGGTGTGTCATTCCAAGGCAGGACACTTGTAGATGTAAATGCCAACAAGGGCACAGTGTTTAAGTCACTGTCCTTTGATTAACTGATTAACCTTCGTATGTGTTTAATTACATTTATCTTATTAATTTGGTAAGGGCTTGTATGCCGCGGGGCGTGTGTGGAGTTCCGAGGACAGCTGGGGATTTGTTCTTTCCTGTCGTGTGGGTCCTGGGCCTGAACTCAGGACATAGTGAAGGCAAGTGCCTTAACCTAGTGAGCCATCTCATCCTCCCCTCCCCTGCTTTGTATGCTTGGTTGTTGTTGCTGCTGTTTTCCAAGACAGGGTTTCTCTATGGAATGGCCCTGGCTGCCCTAGAACTCGCTCTGTAGACCAGGCTGGCCTCGAACTCAGAGATTCTCTTGCCCCTGCCTGGGATTAAAAGTGCTGGGATTAAAGGTGTGCACTAGCACCGCCTGGCTTTTATGCTTGTTTGAAGGTCACCCTTGCGTGGCTTAAAAACAATTGTTGTCTACTTTTACTTGCTCCTGTGCAGCAGCTACCTTTGTAAACCAAGGTGGATTTCCCTCCCGGCTGCAAGATGTGTTCTGAGCGGGTGCCCTGGGTAACTGGCCTGCCTGCCTTTGCGGCTAACACCCTTCTCCTCCACTGCATCCTAGCCCATGCTAACACAGCCCTTCCTTCTCCTCCACTGCATCCTAGCCCACACTAACACAGCCCTCCTCCTTTCCTCTCTTAACATCACACCCACGAGGTCATTTTCTGTTTTTCTGCCTCTCAGTCAGAAAGCAGCCACTTTAGCTTTTCTTTCCTGCTTAATAAAGGATCTGTCTGTGAAAACAGGAGTCTGGGTGTGGTTTGTGCCTAATCCGGGTCAAGGTGGGAGCCCCTGCTGAGCTGGGGGGTGGGGACAGTGTTGGTGCTGTCAGGAAGATGAAGGCTGGCACAGAGCTCTCTTTCCCCTTTCTGTCCATACTCTGGCTTGTGCAACAGTACCACCCACTTGTAGGGTGGCTCTTCTGGATCCATTAAACCTTGCTTGAAACACTCTCACACACACCCAAAAGCATATTGATCTCATTTTATTTTTTACATGTAGCACGATTCTTTATAGAACCTGGAAATTTCACATTATGCACCCCAATTCTGCTTACCTCCCAGTCCCTCCTTAGCCTCCCTCCCCCTGCAGTGCCCTCCCTGTGAATATTTTTTTAAAAATCAAAATGAAACAAGCAAACAACATATGAATTTTAAATCTTATCAAATTGGCAGTTGAGATTACAACTTCCCTTATTCTAATTAACACACTTAAAGTAACGGTTGACAGTGGGGCGAATACTGTTTTATCAGTGGAACATCTCTGTTCTAAGTTCAGAAACGGGGAAGCCCCATTATCATTTTCTCCTAGTTAAGTCAATGCTCAGAAATCAAGAACGCTAGTCTAGTTCTATGTGTTCCCTTGGTTCTAAATGCTGGGACACCCCCCCCCCCCCAATGTCTGCTAGTGTTATGAGCTTTCCCTGGCTCCCATTTGCTGGCTGTTGACAGAGTTATGAAAATTAACCCCTGAAGGTGGGGACAAGGGCTAGTACAACTTTAGGCTGAGAGAGATGTGGAATATCCAGCAAATTAGGTTGAATAAACCTTCAAGAGTATCTTTTCCGGAAAAATAACATTGCATGTTAATTAATGTTATTAATTAATTAATAATGGGAATAATTTTGCCCTTCACACACAAATACATACACACACAGTAAGAGAGAGAGAAAGAACTGAATAACCATAGTTCAAAATATGAAGCGAATTTACTTTGTCAAAAATAAAAAACTTCCAGAAGAAAATGCCCATTTTAACTATTTGCATACTAGCATCTAAGCTTTTAATGCTTATAAAATGTGCATTTCCTTAAATTAATCTGCCTCAGGTGTTCCTATTGCCTGCATTACATTCCAAATATGTATTGAACCTCTGATTTTCTCTGCAAGTATTTCAGTTATCTAAAAAGAATAATGTATCACATAGCTGATATTAAGTCAGTTTTGAATTCTCAGGTGTTGTGATTGTGGTTGCTGAAGCCAAGGCACTAATCAAATGCCCTCAGCTGCTACAATAGTCTAATCACCATACTCTGACTTTACTTAGTAATTGTGAAGGTCGAAACAGAAAGCTTGATTCAGAAAGGACATTGAAAGTTAAGAATAAAAGAGAATGAAGATACTTTATCCCCATCCTGTGCCATGATAGATCATTGAGTTGACCTTGTAAAGTTAAAGATTCTGCTGGATGCTACACTGGAATCGACTCTAAGATCTGAAAATTCTGTGTTTGTTTTTAATTTTTGAAGCAGCGTAATTTTATTTAATTGTGTTATTTTTCAGTAAAGATGATGCTGTGGAATATTCTTTACACTATGCGAAGATACGGTACTGTGATTGGTCTAATAAAAAGCTAAACGGTCAATAGGCAGGATTTTCAGGGCAGAAGGAACTCTGGAAGAAGTTGGATGCAACTTTGGATTTTCTTATAAATATTTTCCATCTACAGCTGCGAAACCCTCTGATGCCTATCTCCAAGGGGTTATGGATCATAAATTAGTGCACACTTGTTTGCACAGAGAGTTAATCTAAGTTCGGAATAAGCATGATGCAGTGTGGCATCACTGATGGGTACCTGAGACCAAATTCTAATCCCTCTTCAGTCCCTAAATATATGTCACTGGGACTCATGGAGCTCTTTGGGCTTTCACTGATTGACATCGGAGAGGAAGGCCTTGCTCCAGCTCCCCTACAATTTCTTAAATATTGCACACCAACGGGATTGAATGTCAATATATAGTTATCATTTTACACTCTGGCAATTTCATACACACATCTTAGTCTGCTTTCAGTTTCTATGGTAAAGGCTATGACGAAAAGAAACTTAGAGAGGAAGGGTAGCCAAGGCAGGAACTGGAGGCATGCTGTTCAGTGGGTCACTCTCCAAGGCTTGCTCAGCCTGCTTTCTCAGACACCCCAGGACCAGCTGCTGGAGGGGGGCACCACCCATAATGGGCTGGATCCTCCCACATCAATCATTAATCAAGAAAGCTCTGCAGACTGACCAACAGGCCTGTCTGATGGAGGCAACTCTTCAGCTGAGATTCCCTCATCCCAGATGACCCTAGCTTGTGTCAAGTTGACAAACAGAACAAAAATGTGCAATTCCAGGAACAAACAAGTCAGCACAGTGTGCCAGCACCCTGAAATCTCTCAGAGATTCATTCCCGATTCAGAGATTTCATTCCTGCTGAGGCCTGAAAAACCTGGATTCAGTTCCTAGCAACAAAAGGTCACATATTTTAAAATGCAGCAAGTCTTTTCCTCCCTGCCAGAAAGCTGGCACCAGCAGAGTTATTTTGCCAGTCAGGTGATTAACGAAGGAGACAGGCCACCTCTACTGATGTGGTGTCCTGCTCCTTCCCTGCCCTTCCACCTGCATGGGACTCTTTGGAATTCGAACTGATAAAGTCTGCCTGCCCCCAGTCTGTCCCGTGTATGCAAATTAGGAATATTTCGCTTGTATATATGTGTGTGTGTGTGTGTGTGTGTGTGTGTGTGTGTGTGTAGCGCAGACTTCTTTGCTGACACCCTAATCTCTATTCTCCCCTGGATCCTAAAACCGCAGGCTAGGTGGAGCCATGGGGAAGAAGGAAGGATAACAACACAAAACCAGCATAATGTATATGTTTTTTTGGTTATTTTTTACCCCTCTGTTACCCTCTCTCAGCCCCATTTCTGTCATATTAAATCCTTTTCCCCCACCAAAGACCTTCTACATACATGACTCACCCCCACACCGTGTGTGTGTGTGTGTGTGTGTGTCCCACTAAACCCTGTTGAGTTTAGTTGGGTTGCTTGCATGAGCATAGACACAGGATCATTTACCGAAGCTTGGACGATTGCTTTTCCCCAGTGGCTACAGTCCTGGGCAGTGTATCTTAAGGTAAAGAACACTGTAGTCCTTTTTAGACAAACAAGCAAGTATCAATCATTCTCAAAGCAAAGCTGCTTTCTGGTCACTTACATAGATAGTCCCTGCAATAAGGGCAAATGTGCATTCTGACCCAGCCTGATTCACAAAAGAAAGCCACAAGCTGCTAAGAAAAGATGTACTTTAGAGTGCCCAAGCTTATATCGTTCAAGTTCTGGAACCCAAGTTTTCTGGCCTTTAGGGCATTCTGCAAAATGTGCAAAGGGGAGTTCTATCTTGTCGGATGGATGGGGGAGGATAGATTAGAACACACAAGCAGCTTGGTAGGTTGTTCTTGAGTATAATTTACTTCATTGTTTCTAGCCTGGTAAGTATACCCAGAGGGTTTATATTGATGTGAGTAATTGAACAAAAACAAAAAACAATAAGGTCTTCATCGACCCGTGGCT